TGAGTTCCTTCACTTTAAGGTTCTCCATCGTTCACACTAGCCTCTTGCTGTTTGCCCCTGTTAACAATTTACTTGCCGTACCCACTATAAGTCAACTAGCAAGACGCGCAAGCAATTTTTCACTCTCCCGTGTTTACCCTCTCCGCATTAACTTTGGTTTCAAAGCACTTCGACTTTGCTTGAAACGATCAAAGCTCACTCTAATGCTTCACACAGCCCTTCTCTAAACTAATACAACCTGAGCTAGAGTAGTCTGGTGAACTGAGGGGAAAACATCAGGCACTCACCGCATCGATGTCGCTGACGCCGGCCGATCCCAATGCTGCCACCACTGTTGCGAAAGACGGACCGATCCCGCCGAAGCCACCACTGTTTCGAAAGACGGCGACGCCAACACGGCCCCGAAGGCGCCACTGCTTCCAACTCCGCCGGGAAGGTCACCAGCCGTTTGGTAGCGTATTTTTATCAGCTCGCGACTGCTTCTGCGCAGAGCTGATAAGACGAGCGGACGAGACGACGGTGAGTTAAACAAGGTTTATGTACAGCATATTACAGAGGCGTTACAATTTCGGCACTGGGGCCGACAGAGACTCGAAGAGCCGAGCTCTCCTCTCTAATACATAGGTCAACTTTTCGCCTAAGACCGCCGACTCACACACATGTCGGCTCTCCGACGTGGGGACTCCTCTCTCAAGGACCGCCGATCGCGACGCGCCGCAGGGCTTCTTTTATTTACACCGGGTCCAACCAAGATGTCCAATCAGAAGCGCCGCTGGTTGTCAGGGCAGACTCCTCCAATGGGGTTGCCGCGCCATGCGTCAGACCACCAGACACGAGGACGCCGGCTCGCTGTCACGTGCGCAGCTGACTCAATGCACGTGGGCCAGAGAAGCGCCGCGCGTGTTCACGCCGTCGAGTTGATCGCGCCAGGCGGACTGCGGGCTGGCCTTGACCCAGATTGCCTTTTTCAGAGGCACGGTCGTTTGACGAGGACTCGCTGGCATAACAACGCTTACCCTTTTCTCCTCCACGCTTTACCACCTGTACATCTCCAACTTCCAACTCACCTCTCCTTGTACTAAGCTACACACTCTCTCCTCCTCATCCTGACACCATTCCTCCTGAACTCGGCTCCCATTCACACCCATTGATATACTATACATGTGACTATATATGCTACACCTCCCCTCTCCCACTTCCCTTTCTTTCCTCACCCTCAAATATCTGCTATCTGCCTTATTTCCCTTCCCAACGCCTTGATATAATATATACTACAGTGGCCTATCCTCACTTACTTATACTCATTTTCATATACGATCCCCTAGGTTCTATTACGCTGTACATGACAACTGCTATGTAAGCTTATTTCCAAAGATCGAAAGCGTGATGGCTGGGACGTGAGAGTGACGTAAGCAGGCGCTACGCTTCCGACAAAATAAAATCTGGACGCATTTATCCTGCCAGTTCTTTTTGTCTGGTTGTTACTGTCTGGTTGTTACAAGGCTACCCCTGTCTGTGACGGGGTAGCCTTGTTTATAACCTCCTCGGTCCCTAAGAGGTTTTAGCACTTCATCAGTTCTGAAAGCTACAGATAATCGCATTTCAATATCCGCGTGTCCAAGTTTGTTTTAGCATAATAGGAATGAGTTGCTTTCACAAAGCCCTGAGTAGTGGCATCGTGTGCCTAGTCATGTTCGAAAAATGAGCGAACGAAACTGACTAGCTACAGCGTGAGAGCGCGGTCACGTCCTCGTGATGAGTGAAAGCTTTTTAAAGACGATGTTCTTTCTTGGGGACCTTCGACGGAAAAATTTTGGTCTGTCTGTCTGTCTGTACCTTTGTCTGTTTGTCTGCCCTAACGATACCTCAAACGGTATCAAACGGCCAGCCCCATCCGCAGCGCCCACCAATATTGCTCAAGGTTTAGCGTTCATAGTTGTGCGATTGTCAATAAAAAAACAAATATTGCGTATATATGAGGCGCCATAACAACACGTATATGTTTTGTATGTCTGCCTTTATTTTACAAGAGGCACACACATGTAACTTTAAGGACTGTAGCGTTTATTGCGCGGCGCTGACAGTGCAACGCGATGCTCAAGAAGGTGTTTCCAACGCTTTGCTACGACGACACGGTGGTGGCACTTGCCCGTTGCTTTGCGCTCTACACCTTATCACCTCCGAGACTGGCGCGCATCTTTCTCCGTGGTCGTGCGTGCCTTCGTTTTCGAAGATAACTGCCAGATGGCGCTCGTGTCTCACGTACCTAGATGCGCTTGTTCGCCTCCGCTACACGCTCGAGGCACTCTAACGCAGCGCCTTCAGAATACCATTCACCGATTTTCTTGCGCAGAACATCAAATAAACGTTTCGTTCACTCTCTCCAGACGCAAGACTATCGTCTTTCGACAACATATACAGTGTAACATGTAGATTCGCGCCAACTTTTTCTTAGATGTAGCGTCAACGACATCGTCTATAGTTCATTCCTTTAACTGTGGACACCTTCTAGATTATATTGAAAATCATTTCGGTTTGATATTTTTGTTACACTCTATCTTAGAGACTTCAAAAGATCAAGAGTACGCAAATGGGCACCATCCCATTTTGAGTCAATCGTTCGATTTCTCAAATTCACAATTTTTCTGCGTTTGTTTTCAAGGGCAGGGGGTCAATACAATTTTGCAGATTTTTTCATTGGTGCATTTTTTGGACAGAGGAGATTTACTTATCTGTGGCCACGAAAGCTCACCTTTTCTCCCCCCAAAAATGCTATTTACTCTATACTCGCGATTAGTTACATACTGAAGCAATTAGCTTGAGTCGCTTGCGTTAAACCTATAACACCCCCGTGAGTTCTTCCAAGCTATGCTTCGGCCCCTTTTTTTTTTTTTGAAGCGACAATTCACCAGGCAATGCATAGGACACATGCAAATAATGCTTCCCTGCCAGGCTTTAATCATACTGCTATCGTTGTCTCCACTGACGAAGAGGACCGCAATTAGCGATGTTTACAGCGCGCATGCCGTGTCGCCTGGTGCGGGACGTCGAACGCGCTCAAAAGCTTGGTAGCGACCAACACATATCAAAGTGTTGTGACCTCGTGAATAGTCGTGGTATCGAGCAAGAATTGTATTGAGCAAGAAGGCTTTACAGCACGCACGCTTTTCTGAAATACGTCGTTTCAATTATTAGCCAGTCGTTAGAAAAGCGTGGGTCAGCGGGCACCAGTCGCAATGAGTCTGTTTACAGCGCGAAACAGGACCAACGCTTGCGAACGTTTAATTTCTGCCGGCAACAATGACTTTAACCAGACAGCATGGTCGGTCAACTGCAACTGACAGTGTGAAAGCCAGGCGGTGTTTGGAGAGGACCTCGGTTGGACCAGGTCTGTTTGAAACGTGTTGCGAAGTTCGAGCTATAGAGTGACAGCGAGTGTGCCCGTAAGTAAACAGTTGTAGAATTCATGCGGGCCTCTGACGTCATGCGAATTTCGCGTCACACAGCGTGCAGGTTTGTGTTCGTCTGCCCGAGCCCCAAAATTGTTTTCGCGCACAATTTTAGAGGAAGAAAGAAGTCGGGCGGGGCAGAGAGAGAAAGAGAGAGAAAATAATCAAAAGGAAGAGACAGGGAGGTTAACCTAGACGAACTGGTTTGCTACCCTGTACGGGGGTGGGGAAAAGGGTCGAAAAGAGGATAGATATAGAGAGATATAAAAAAAAAATTAGGAAAAAAAACCACAATTGCCTGTATATTTTACACTGCTGGATCCACCTGAACCTGCAACGTCCTTCTCCCCCTTCTCCCCATTGCATAAAGCATTCACTTGAATCTTGACACATGTTTTTGCAGGACAACATAAACTCCCTAGAAGCGATACAGAACTCTCGTCATAAGCGTGTGCATCTCGTGTGTGAAAGGGGAGGGTCAAGTGCAACTCCCTCTCCGTTCCCTGGTATGAAGCGATGTAGTGCTTCCGCTAACGGCCAACCGCAGGCCGTCGTCTTTCGGTAGTTAAGGTCAGAAGGAAAACAAGTCCCTTGATGAAACATCATTGGCTTTTCGCTACAAGGGCCGCCGAAGACACACGTGGAGCCATAAGCCCGCGAACTAGAAAAAAAATAATAACGTGAAAAATATTTCCAAGTGAAGGGGTGATACAAAATTGGTGCGATAAGGGGCGCCTCTCCTCTCATTCCCTCCAATGATATTTATGAAAGTATAGAAAGGGTGAAGAAGTTGTTATGCATTACCACCCAAGGAAAAACGATTTGTTTGATTCGTTGGTCAGTAGTCGTGCTAATGTCCACAATGCTCTGGTATGATTTGATTTGATTTGATTTGTGGGGTTTAACGTACCAAAACCACCATATGATTATGAGGGACGCCGTAGCGGAGGGCTCCGGAAATTTAGACCACCTGGGGTTCTTTAACATGCACCCAAATCTGAGTACACTGGATGCTCTGGTCAGTTTGGTCGATTGATGGATCCTTTGCTTGCTTTGAGTGATGGACGGCATTCAGCAGCTTAAACCAAGCATAAAAACGCATGCAGAGAAGCCTAACAAGTCTGAATTAAGGGTGAAATATGACCCAATTTATGAAGATGGTCGCAAAAAAATCGGCTTGCGAGACTTCCACTGGTGATTTTTTGATTCAAGCGCAAATTTTAAAATGTGCCTGCTTACACCTCATTTCACAAAGCAAGATCAAGTGACCTGACGGCTCACCCAATAGCGTTCCATTGAACGCCTACTACTGCTAGAACGTCACAAACTTAAGGCAGCCTCGCTCTAAAAGAAACCGGTTGAAGTATACGCATGTCCAATCGCCCAGTATTCAGTACTTTTCAGCTAAGGGGCCGTACTTATGCTTATTCTTTTCATGGCTTTACCATTTCTTATATGAACGTACTTGTGAAGTATCTAATTGTATGAGTGCCCTTTCTTTTTTTAATAATGTTCAGCGATGTCACTGCACCGAAGTGTTCCGCAACTCACCCCATTCCAGCAATGCTTCGATAGCGTTCGCTGATGCATTCTTGGCTGCTTCATGGATGGGGTAGTAACCGTTGTCACACGTTATCTTCGGTGATGCTCCAAACTGACTCAGCTGCATTGAAGTAGAACAATACAGCACGCATCAAGCCATCAAAAAAAGTTCGGCAGCATCTTACACTCTTTGTAGCAAAAGAAGACTGTCACACTTGGTAGCAAACCAAGTTATACAGTCTCGGCCCGAGACTTCTCGCAAGACATAACACGTGCCGCAGTGTTAGAGAGATACATTATATTGCCTTGACGTTCACGTTCAGTTGCAGTTTTCTTCTAACACTCTAGAAATATTTCAATTCACTAACGTTCTGAAAAAGAAAAGAAAACACCGATTCTCTGACGCTCTAAAAACCCTCCTATATTCTAACGCTTTAAAGAGGAAGGAAGCAACAAAAGGAAGAAGGCAGGGAGGTTAACGCTTTAAAACCCTCCAATACTCTAACGTTCTAAAAAGATTCCAACGCTCGAACGCTTTAAGAACGCTCTAACACTTTCAGTGTGTAGTTTGAACGGACGACAATGGATGCTTGAGTCGAATAGTTCCGATTTCTGGAACGGAGACGTTTGCCAGTTTTGTAAAGTGTGGAGTTGAGGAGCTTAGCTTTCTTGGCGCACGGAGGCTACGTCGAAATAAGAACGCGTGCGCTCGCCTCTCTGCACCAACTTTTTTTTTCTTTATTCGATTCATCTCGCGTGGAATCTAATCGTTAAAGAATAGGTGTTACACAAACAGGAAAAGCATGATTGAAGCTGTCATCAAATATACATTGACGAGAAAATAACTTGTCAATACCACCATTCTCAAATATCTACGTGGACTCCGGAACAGGTCTTTTAAAATCAGAAACTAATCCGAATTTTGCATATATTTTTGCGTTTTGCCAATAACATCGTAGGACAAGCAGCAAAATTTTTGTTCTTTTGTGTCATTTTTACACAAAAGAACAAGCAGGTACAGCATGTCACACGTGTAACAGTTTATAACGGTAAAAAGGGTGAACGTATAAAATTAAAAAAAAAGAGATACATGTGTTTGGTTCTCTATAGAATGACATGTGTGACTAAACACGTACAAAATCATTTCCTGAGAGTTGCTCAAGCCAGGCGAATTCCGACCGGTCATTAATCTGAGCTGACAAAGAAAATTAGGAGCGGAACGGCGCACAGGTTGAAGCAACAGAACAGCCTGGACCTATGATTTATCTATTTTGTCCTCACGTAGCAAAGGAATAAATGTTCAGCGCATCCTGCTGCATGTAATCGTTTCTTTTATTTATTTTGAAACAGCGTGTCGAATATTTGCGACTTCAAACAGGCAAGACAAGAAGGTTAACGCTGGAGAGAAGAGAAAATTTTATAAGCACCTACCTGCTTTGAACATCTTGACAAAGTACGAAGAATATAGTGACAGGACAAAGTGTCAGTCTTGGGTGAGTGATTTTTCTGGGAATGTCGGGCTGCTCAATGTCGTGATGTTTTACAAAATGTATAACGCAATTATATACTCGGACGAGCTGTCGCTAGGTATAGCTTCCTGCCTAAAATAAACGCTGCAGGTGGAAGCTCCTGCTGATCAGTGCTGTATAGAACATCGAAAAAAGGAGCCACGTACCAGTATTCTGGCGCACTCTGCATTGTCATAGATGGCAGCCAGGTGAAGGGCCGTGCGTCCGTGCTTACTCCTCAGGTTTGTGTCCAGCTTGTCTCGGTGCTTGACAAGTTCCTGCGAAGTCCACATCGATCACGTCACCGGGAAGCCTCCAAGTGAGGGAGCTTTCGAAGAATTCAGCCTATTCTATTGTTTTGTTTTCGTACAGAAACTCTCAAAAGACGAACATATTTTGCGAGGTCCTCTAACTGACACATCGTCATCCTTCTCGACACTCAGATGTTAGAAAAAAAATTCAGCTTTCGTATCTTGCGACAATGAAACTGCTGTCGAGGGCGTCACTTTTGCCTAACACATCTGCCCGAGACAACGCAACTGACGTGGCCTTCTCACGACTGTATGCGGGATTGAGAAGTGTCAACTATGCCTGGCTGTGTCTTCCACAAAAGAACATAATTCACAGTGAAATCGACTTAATTCACGTTCACATAACTGAAATTTGTCTCACATTCTATGAGAAGTTTGCAAAGACAAGTTTACTCCTCATAACAGGTATAGAATAAAAAAGGAGGGAGAGGTGAAATAACGTGCAAGCAGCAGACTTAATTAGCCGAGTAACTATATTTTGCAACAGTTATCTCAATAATATTTGGATAACATGCAATAGTATAGTGAGGGCATTAAACACAGTATATACATAAAGGTGAAAACTCTGGATTTCATAATTATAAGTGGTAAAAAGACGGGAATCTTGTGGTGAAATGGAGAAAAATGTGACCTGGGGCGATTACGTGGTGACTGTTTCGTGATTTAAAAAAGCCAAAAGGACCCTTATCTGTGCGTCTAAACCTCTATCGATTATGTGGCAACAAAAAATGTCTGCGCCATCTTTCGTTATTGTTATGACCTCAGTGTGTCCACATTACCAATGTGCCGTTCAGTTTTAGCAGTACAGCACTTTTATAATAATTAACGCCAAAAAAACATGATCCACTTCAAAGTTACTTTGAAGAAAACTGGAAGGTCGTGCGCAGAAACTTAGTACTTAACGAAATTCGCAGCTTAATTCTACAATAGAGCAACATATGGTTGGTTAATAGGTAAGAAGGTCAACAGGCGCAGTAGTGTATAGAATACGCTATCGCATACGTAACCTTCACCAGGTGAACAGACGCAAGTGCTTACAATATTACTATGATGTTCTTAGTCTACGCGTCATGCAATAAGCTCATGGTGGGCTATAGTGAAGTTATTAGAGTTCACAACATCAAACTGCTTATTAAAGCAGAGCCATAAATCCAATATTGCAAGACGTTGGTTTTAACGAGGGTGAATTCGTTTAAGTATGAGGATATCGTCTCCGCACGGACCCTCAAGGATTACTGGGCCTTGACCACTACTACGTCACGCCGATATCGTAAAGCAAATGGCCTGTGGACAGAGCCCACTAAGTTCGGACCTTTATATACGCAAACGAAGTAAAATCCCAGTTTTTTTTGTTTTTTTCGTGGGCCATAGAGAATCTAAATATAGCGTTTGCCTTGAGGTCTGCAGCGACAAAACGTTGACGTCAAAGCATTTGGTTGGTCGAGCAATTACATCTTGTCCGTAGTGTCCTCGCTGTGCTTTCTAATGTACGCGGTATCCATAATCTCGAAGCACTCATAAAAATTTTCTGAAAAAAAAAACTGTTCATGAAAAAGAAAGAAAATCCAAGACGAAACGGATTGACGAAAGCTGAGCTAAACTCCGAAGATTGTAGGGAGTGTGCAAGGCCTCATGAGGAGTTGCGTTGCGTTGTACAAGACGTAGGGCTTAACATAAACATTCGCCAAGAGTCTTACGAAAAAAAAAAAAAACCAAACATAGCAAACAAGACAAAGGCACCGTCATCTGTATATAAAACTAGATCGTAGCTGTTCAGAGTAATAAAGAATCTTGTCGTTTACGCTCCCTGTTAACCAGATTTCCTTGTTTGCAAGCCCTGCTTTTATAGGCGGGAACACTCACGGATATTAGTACTTGGTCAAAGCGCACCTACATCGAGACGGCACACTAACTTGAACGTTGTATCATTAAATCCGAAATCACCATCCCCATCCGCACAGAAAAGCGGGCTTTTCTTGTTTCTAATACAACACGTTTAGATAATTTCTCCCGGGTTTTCATCCATGTAGTCTACATAGCAGAAGTGGAAATGAAGCACGCATAAACCCTAACGTTAAAAATATTCCGCCGTGTGCGTGCAGGAGCACATGCGTCACGTGAACATTTTCTTATTCTTGTTTTTTTATAAGTTGTTAGTGTTATTATTCGCTCCTCTATCTTTTGCTATATTTGTTTTTTGTGCATTGCGGTTCCCCTCAGTAATGTAAACTTTACCCCGAGAGTATAATAAATAAATAAATAAATAAATAAATAAATAAATAAATAAATAAATAAATAAATAAATATGAATACGTCCGATGTGGGGGGGCGGGTGATATAAAGGGCAAATTGTGCGTTATCCTTCTCCTCAACTGGGTAACTCGCAGCCCGTAATAACGGTTTTTAAAAGCACCACATTCATTATTATCAGGGAAGTTGGCGCTTCAATAAAGCCGTGGTTTAAGCCTGTTGGGGCACCGCAATTAAAAATGATTATTAGCGTGGCAGCGTCAGAGGCAGCCTTGATATAAATAACGCTAGTTTACCGCGACCTTTATTAGATGATACAGTGTGAATACACGTACGAAATGAAGGAATTCATTGAATTGTATGTAGTTATTTTGCATTGCTAATGTTTTATTTTTCTACATAAATTATAATAATATAACTCTTGTTCTGATGTTGAAGTGACTTGTGCGTGTGTTAGCATTGTACTATCGAATAAGAGTTGTTAGAAGCCAATGTACGTACAGGCAAGTGGTGCCACCTATGCACACCTTGTGTCACTTGCATGCATATACTGGGGCTGTCCTGTCAAACAAAAGCTAACTAAACCTCATATTAAGTGTGAATACACTTTATAAGCGACCCCAAACCATCCACCGCCGTCGGCGGCGTCCGCAGTCTTCTCTCTATCTTTAAAAGAAAGAGGACTTGGTGGGTTGCAGCGCGACGCTCTACCTAATAAGCCACGGACGCGACGCTGATATCGGTGTCAGTAACGCGCCTTATACCCTCTCCCCTTTCGCTCGCTCCTTCCCTCTCCTCGCTTACTGCAGCTGCGCGCGCATCCATCTCTCTCGCGCGCCCGCCTTCTCTCTCAGTCTCCCGTCGAGAGCGGGTCGTGAGTGGGAGTAAAGTTAAAATCCGTTGGCATTTGCCAGTGAGTTAACGTAAACTCACTCCCCCGTGTGATCAAATTGCGATTCCCAGGAACCATTACCCCATAAAGGCACCATAGTGTGATTAATAAATATAATAGTGCGAATTAATAAATACCCCTCATAGCATCACCCCGTGTATTCGCACTTAACCATGTTCACCCTCGGGGAAATGCTAGGGAGTTTTTTTTTCTATGTTGGTCCCTCCTCACACTTCTCAGTAATTATTGCGATAGCAATTACATGAACACTCTCTGCTGGTTTTGCCGCCGGCGTCGGCGTCTATGTCATGCACTGCATATGTATACGTATCTGTATATGTGAAAACGCAAGAAAGAAAAAAATCCAGAAAAAATTACATCAGCGCGCGGATTTGAACGTAAGACTTCTGCGTCGTGAAAGCGAGGCGTTAACCACTGAGCCACCCCAGAGCATTTCCTTTACCATTCAAATGGCAAGCTACTTATACACCTTTTCACGGCAGGGAAAAAAACACCGACATGACGGGCTGTGCGCGAGAGTACAAAGGCTAATGGCGCAGCCTTGTCAGTGCATATTTGAAAGGTCATGCGCCAATTTGCACAGCCCAAAGAGGACTATGGTGGCGCCCAGAGAGGCGTTTTTGAAAAGGTCCATATCTACCACTTACCGCTGCTCGCGAGCATTTCGGAGAGGGGGGGGGGGAATCGAGTTTTCAGCATTACCAACAAGATAGCGCAGTGAGCGCGCGTCACCACATCGTGAGCCGGCGCCCGCTCTAAACTCCTACGCGTACTTTGCCCGGCTTAGAGAAGGGGAGCGACGCTCCCTCACGCGCCCTTATCTCGCGGCGGCGAGGAGGGGAAGGTCGTTTGCCTTGGCTGGCCTCGGGCCTTACCTGGAACAATTCTGCTGTAGTTACCGGTTGCACAAAGGTCACTGCAATCATTAGACAGTTATAGTTTAGCTTTAGCGTGATAGCGTAGGTTAAGGAAATGGTGTTCCCGTGCAGCAAACGTTCGTTGTGGGCAGCCTCTTATAGTTTAGTGGGATAGCGTTTACGTGGTTTACGTTTACGTGCCCAGCTGGGATTGTGGCGCCACCTATTATATAGTTAATAAAGTAAACATTGAAAATGAAAAGATAACGAGAATGTTTGCCTATACCACCACGCGAAGCATTGTTAGAAGTTTATTTTAGGGATAATAAAAGTAAATAAATATGAACGATGCACCAAACGCGAAAAAAATTATGTTGCCGGTTTGTCTACATCGATCTTGTAGTTAGGCCTAGACACGTTCGAAATGGGAAGCTATCTCAAAAACTACGCCAACTTATCCGTAATACTCGGTCATTGAAGCTAACTGAAGGCAAGCGAAACCACTTTGAGCAGTCGTTTGCTGTGAACAAGGTGAATCTTTCAACAACTACGCCAAAATTACTTCGAAGCGGGCGTCCGAGAGCGCCGCCATGTTTACGTATACACTACGTACACCTACGCTACCACGCTAACGTGAAATCCGAAAAATACCGCGTGTACTGGAAGTGGTACGGGTGACGTACGTATCTGCGCATGCCTACTTCGATTCCGGTAGCACGGTACACCCGGTAACCTGGCAAGCCCGGTATACTATAACTCTCTATTGCCTTCTCCGTTTGCGAAAAGCGCGCGCTTTTAAGACCCAGCAAAGAAGTAACGAATGAGACGCTTATTTGCGTGCATCCGTACCTGTGAGTACGTTTTGTGCAGCACTTGTTCGTGAGGAACGCGAGGAATGTTTCGATCTGCTTTAAATTCTGCGCGTGACCTCTCAATTCGTTGCTATCGCGTTCATTGCTTCGCCTTTCAGCAAAGCTGTGACTTTTAGATGCGGAAGCATCTTATACTCGCGCCTTCTAGTGCGCCGTCCGCGCCGTCCGCACCGCTTCTCGAACATTCGACAGCTGACGCGCGCGCATGCGCCGTCGCGCCGTCGCACACTCTTCCACCATCTGTGCATCCCTTCCTCCTCTACACACCGCGTTCGACATCTACAATTCTCCTGATTCTCCAGTGGACGCGCTGTGGCGTCGCGCTTCGAGAACATTCAACAGCTGACAGTGCATGCGCCGTCGAGCTGTATATATACTCAAGGTCGGCGCTCGCTCGCTCAGTTGCCGCTCGTCGGTTGGTTTGTACAGCGCGTCGACGTCCAAGGTCGCGGTGAAATGAATTCCAACGAATCCACAAACACAATGATCGACATCCCTTCGAGCAGCGCCGCCCTTTCGCACACGTGTGTACGTGTTCACTCATTTAACACCCCCTCCTACAACCACGTTAACCAATTTAGCCATCGACCCAAGTAAGTCGCAATTTAACACCCCATTTCACAACCACGTTAACCAATTTAGCCATCGACCCAAGTAAGTCGCACTTTAACACCCCGTTAACCAATTATATGCTCCGCATCCTCCTCAGTGTTCCCCCGAGGGAAGCTGCGGGCAATTTTTTTTTCATCATGCTTCATTATGAAGGCCATAATGTTTACAGCAAAGAATAAAAAATATTGTCTTCTTGGAACGAATCCTTGGATGTTCTCATTATTGCAAGCACATAGCGCTAAATTTTTCCTTGCAATCACAGCGCCACACGTAGGAATGAGCAGTCTAGAAAGCGGAATAAGCAACATCGGGCTGTCACCCAACAGCTTTATTCAAGGGAAGACGAGGCTCACGTCCCATGATTATTGGGCTTTGCGAACCTGTCTGCACAACAGACATTTTTTCTGAAATGCAAAAGCGTGTGTAAGGAAATTTTACCTGTTTTATGTCGTCATGATGTACACGTGATTTCTATAGGTGTAGACGTAGGAGCGGCCCAAGGCACAGCGTTTGACTTGGAGAACTTTATCAAATTAGCATAATAAGGCTGCAAATCCTCGTTTAACATCACTACAGTACGCCACTTACTTTGTCGATTCACGAGGAGTTCTTCACTTACACAGGGTTCAACGCATGGCGGTGATTACGAGAGCAGCCACGCGAGTCGCGCCCTACCTGCAGCGATTTGACCTTGTTGAGCTGGGTGCTGAGGTGCAGCGGGCTCTGGACATTCTTGTTGAGCACACTCGTGTTGGCACCGTTCTCGATGAGGAACGTGATGGCGTCGCAGGCCTCGTGCTCGCAGGCGGCGTGGAGGGGAGTGTTGTCCTCGTAGTCCAGCATCATCAAGTCTGCGTCGTCGAAAGAGAACGAGCGTCAGAAACGGGTTTCCAGGGAACGGCAAGATACGACCGCTACGTCTATTTCGTAGGATGCTGCTTAAATGCACTCACAGAAGAGAGAGAGGAAGATACAAGAAAGACGAGGAGAGGTTAGCCAGAGAAAATATTCGGTTGTCTGCGCTGTACTGAGAAAGAGACAAGGTGATGTAAAAATGTGAGGGAGAAGAACGATTCCTGATGACGCTAAGCGATGAAACAAGCAAAACAATGTCCTAACTCAATGAACCATCCAATTAATATTGTGAACTATCCGAATTAACCATTCAGTCTATTTTCACGAAGAAACCGTCACACCATTCTAGGAAGTATACGCGTTGAACGCCGGGTATGCCAGCGCCCGAGGATCTTATAGGAAATCACTTTTGCGGCTCAAAGGTCCGTGTGTTGCGCTGCTGTGCCTCATATGCATGGCAGAACGCAGGCCAACATGGCCTTGTCCAAAGGATAACGTGGTATGCGTGCAGTGACGAATGGCACAATCACGTTCAACAACGTCTATATCCCCCCCCCCCCCCGACTGATGAAGGCTGTAGAGACACGCTCTTCAGGCCAATGTTTCGGCCTCTTTTTTCAGTAAACAATGCGTTATTTTTCTCCTACCACGACACTGATCTGAATCCCGGTCACGGTGGTCCTACCTTGATGGGGGTAAAATGCACGCGCAGAAACATGCGCACGCTCATGGACCTTGATTTTGGGTACAATTCAATCAAGAGTCCACCACGGTGTCATACGGCATCCTTCGTAATCACATCGGAGCTCAGCCGCCTGAAACGCCGAAATTTAGTTCCGTTATTTAAGGGCGAAGGGCCTCGAGGGTCTGAGACCGCACATTGTCTCTCCGTCCGTAAACCGCCGCCCGACGTCTACAGCAGATGAAGCAACCGAAATATTTGTTAACAATAGTAAGGTTATCAAAACGCTGTTAACTGAAAGAAGCCAAATAAAAGTCCACAACACCAAAAAAATACACATTTAACCACTCATTAATCAAAGCTATTGACAGAGCAAAAAGTTAACAAGCACAAAATCGAAGGCTGGCAACCAGAACGAAATAGGAGGCCACGATTGGTGATTCATAGCACACTGCTTCGCCCTGTTATCCACGTTCCTTTCATAGAATAACGTTTTGTTTTGTTTTGTTATTGTCTCGGGGCCCACGGGACGGCTTATGCTCTCGCGTTGTACCAAGTGCTCTAAATCGTTAACCACTTTTTTCTAAACATAGAAACAATGAATAGTTGGCGAATGAAGAGGGCAAGATTAGAAAAAAAATTGAGTGCTTCATGATGCATTAGAAACAACCACAAAAGTGTTTGCTCGAGTCTGTACTTGGACGCGTCATGTCGAAATGCAGAAGTGTAAGAGCGTAACATGGATGCAGAGAGTCGCGTGAGCCGATAAGATTAGTATGTTTACGGTGATATTGTGCCTGCACCAACACAGGACCGGGTTAGATGGAAAAGCGTGGGTGAATTCGTTACCCTTTGTGGCGTAGTCAACCCCAAATAGGCTTCTAGGGAACATTCAACTCCATCTCACCAGACTCGGCTAATATCGTTTTTGAAAGCAGCCAATGTGCCGATTCACCTTCTTGTTATAAGCAAAAACAAGGAAAGAAGAAATCTCGATGGTGTTTACAAATACAGTGTTTGCGGGAAACATTGTGCAAACTTACCTTGTGCGCACCCACCAAGGCCCAAACGGTGGAGATTTACCGAGCAAGGAAAAAAAGGCAAATGCAATCGCAGCACAGTGAACGTTGATTCGTCCTCATAATATCCTATCGTGCTCTCAATAAATGAGGTTCTTCGGCCCATGCGACTCTGACTGAGTGTTGTTTCGCCGAGTCGTGCAGCGTTAAGGGCAACGCGGCGCCAGTTTGTTTCCTTCAACACAAACTGAACCGAGTCTAAAACCCAAGGAAACAGAATCGACCAAGCGAGCTGAACCTAGTGCTTTCGTGTTGGACTTCCCTTTCGTGAATTTATGTTAATCTTTTCATGTCTATCTTGTTCTTTTTCTTAGAGTAGCCTATTTTTTTCAGCTTAATATATTTATGCTGACCCAACGTTTTTCCTCCTTACGACATTCCATTCTTCAGTTAGATTATTCATTTTGTCTCATTACTTGCGTGAGTCTAGATTATTCTATTTTTGCCTAAGTTATCCTTACTTATCCTTTGCACGGTTATCGTGTTCCTTTTCTGAGTATGACTTGTTCATTATGGCTGGACGTTTCTTCTGCGAGCTTACGCTATTGTTTTCAGTTTAAACGTATTGGTTCGAATACTTCGTCTTCTTTTTGTGAATATAATGTGTTCTTTTTTGCCTTATTTTATTGTTTTACTAACTTGATTTGGAGTGTAGCTTATTCGCTTTTTTCTAATTTATCTTGTGCAAGTCTATCTTGTTCTTTTTGTGTGTAAAACGTCTTCGTTTGTGTAACTCAATATCCTTTGGTTATTTCATTATTTCTTTGCCAAGGTCAGTATTCTTCATTTAGCTTATAGTGTATTGACGTTTAACTCTTCCTTTGTATGAGTTTATCTTATCATTTCTTCGTCTTTCATTATTTTCTAGTTTATCTAGTCCTGTGTATAACTAACATTTAGCTTGTTTATTTTAAGCCGCAACTTCTGCATGCGGAAGCATCTCTGACGTCAACAGTCTCTTTCAGAGCACCCTTTGGACGCGCTCGACTCCACTAGATGCGGAAGAAAATCCAATTTCCACTTTCCTAGTAATGCTTCGCGATGGGAGTCTCTCTTGCAAAGACGTGTAGTGGGATGTCTCATGTTCAGTTTGACTTTTTCGTTAGGTTTATTGATTGATTGATTTGTGGGGTTTAACGTCCCAAAACCACCATTTGATTATGAGAGACGCCGTAGTGGAGGGCTCCGGAAATTTTGACCACCTGGGGTTCTTTAACGTGCACCCAAATCTGTTTTCGTTAGGTTTAGTTTGGGCACTATATATTGAAATAATGCGCTTTTACAAAAAATGGCCTTGGCCAATGCGGGTTCGTTAACAGCGAATGCTAACATAATAATAATAATAATAATAATAAAAACGCCATGGCAATCAAGCAAACGCGTAGGTTGTCGAGCAGCATATCCGGAAGATCTTACGCTAGACTTCGCTATACGTAGGTTTTGTATGCAAGCCAAAGCTAAAAAAACAAAATAAAAAACGACAAAACTTCTCTAAAACGTGGACTTTTTACTTTTGAAGTAAGGTACTACAGATACACGCATTGAGATATATAGCTTTTTCAATGTCTTCCTTTGAAAGTGCGACCGAAGTGAATGTTCCGCAATAACCCTAAGCGAAATTCTCACTGGGATCCCTGAAATGGCCTAAGCAAGCGTTTGTGCAACGAAGCCTAACTATATGGTCTCTACCAAACGTTTGGCAGATCCAACGAAAACACTAAAGGCGCAATGTTGGTACAAAGAATTTGGAGCTACAAACTTTTTTATGCTTACTTAGTTTTCATAGCGGAAGACGTGGCTTATGGCTAGTTCTTAAAATGCACGAATATAAACAACACATCATTTCTTTCGAGTGTCTTGCGCTAGCTTGTCAGAGCTTTTTCCATGGGTTATTCTTTTGCAGTAGAAAATAATTCGCCAGATAGCTTGGTACTGAATTACAGAAAAAAATATAAACTTGCAGTATATATGCCTTTACAAATAATTTTACAGCCTTTTTCTTCTGGTTTTCTTAGTTCTCTTTGCCTATTTAATTGATTATTAGCATAGCGTTGTGTTAGTTATCTTTTCGCGTTGCGTAGCATTTACATTTTCCTTTATAATTTAGAGTGTAGCCATTCCCACCCGCGGGCATGAGCCACCTTGCCTTAGGTGACAGAACAAGCCCCTTGTTTTTGAAACAGTAATCGTATTTCTCCAGGTGATTGTTTATCACGTCAATATCATTGCTATAGTTAGCCTATGTATTGTAAAAAGACAAACATATCCCAGAAGTGACTTCACTTTTAAGAAGGCAATGCTAGTCGGTTCTATAAAGGCTGCAAAGTCTCCCTTGTTTCGAAATTTGGTCTAACCACCTGTTTGCATGGACTGCATAAAAATTTTATTATTGAGCTTTTGTTATTGAAATCAAAACTATATGAAGCAGTTGCCATCATTTCTTGGCAACTGCAACACCTTTTATCTTATTTGTTGAAATATTAAAATGAAGAAAGATATAAGAACGACCACAATAAATACACATCACAAGTTCAGAACTCTTATCACAAATGTTAGTGTCATCAAAAAGAAAAAAAAGTAAGTGTGCCAGCACTTTTATTTTTAAATTTCATCGCATTTTATTACTACAGAACACTACATGAACTTCCGAACTTCGCTTTTCATCTGAGTTCACGTCAATGTCTAGAATACCACCCTCATGCAGGAATTTCCTTTTGTTCTTCTTCCTCCATAAACTGCAACATGACTTCCCGATCTGTAAGCGCGATACGTGTGATGCTTAGAGAAATTTGATACATCTCGTTTCAAAACTGAGCGGGGATTACAACGCTACGATGAGATGAATAGCTTCATCGGGTCCGACAACCCTGTAACTTACAAAAGTGCTTAGTTGACGGCATTAAATTCCTGAGACGCGCACGTGGAGCTTTAGTAATAAGGGCACCTCGCATTGGTCAACGTTGGCTTCGACGTCTTGATGCTACGTAATCCCATCCGGGTGCATTACCTTTATGGCCTAAAAGACAACCGTCCCGGTAATCACTGCGAAGTGAACCGAGTTGGGCAAGAGTGATTAACTTTTTCCGAGCAAGTCAAAAGCAGCATGTGTTAAAAAAGTTAAAAGAAGCAAGTCAAAAGCAGCAAGTTAAAAGCAGCAAAGCAGCATGGTGGGTCTTCTATATTGATATTGCTAAAACAGGAAATTGAAGTCTCCGAAACGCTTCAAAATGCTTCGGAAGCATTTTATTGAAGTTGAGCTTGAGTTAGCGAGGCTTATTTCACTCCGAGGAGCACCTCGAGCAGCTGTTAGTAACAGCTACCGGGCTCAGTTTGAGAACATAATCCTCGAAAAGTGATGAATTCTTAGAAAATTGCAAAAGACAGTCAACTCCTGTTGAAAACCAGTAGGAAAAATAGAAGCAACTTCCCAGTGTCGCATTATTTTTTGCCCGAGAGTGCATGCAAGCTTTATAAATACCTGGGACGTTTTAATGGAAAGGTGAGCGTAAAACCTGTTGTGTCAACCCACCGGAATGCTGTGCGTATGCGTGTGCGTAACACTGCCACGTCTTTGCCTTCTTTAGTTGTTTCTTACGTGACGTTATCTTACGCTGAATTCTAATGGCCCATCACGAGCGCTCAGCCGGATCGCGATGCCAGTGCGTAGATCCGAGTAGCATTGCTTTCGCCAAATCTGCCATTGGCCTCGGTGGGAGCAGTTGGTACACGGACATCTAACCAGGGGGCGTGAGAGGGCGCGAAGCATTTTGCTCGTTGTACACGGCTGCCTGCGACTGTAGACGTCGGGCAGTGCCGGTATGAAAGGCGGGCGCGCAGAATACGTCACACAAACTTCCGGTTGAAGCCACCGATTTCAGCGGAGCAGGAACCCTTGCTCCATGGAGCAATCTGTAATCTGCGGTTGCTCTCAATCTGCCATTGGAATGTGACTGCTTCACTTGGAGAAGAAGAACTTCATTCGAATCTTCCATTGCAAATGAATATTAGAGTTGTATGAATACAGCTACATAAAGTGGCAATGCGAGTTCGATTGTTGTGGCATTACGCACCTCTCGAACGTATATGCGTGCCTTGCTGCCTGACATGATGCTGCTCACAGACTGATCTTTCAACGTAAAGTGTAGGAAGACACCCACCGTGGATAGCTCAGCACCTAAGGTATTGTGCAAAAGTGAAGTTTCGTGTATTGTGCTAAAGCATCGTGCTCGACTAGTGGTAAGCTCGTTCCTCCCTAGCCTGTACTTCAACGTTATTCGGCCTTGAAAGCACGCATCCTCTTAAGTTAGTAGCTCACGCTATTGTTGGTACACGTTAGCAGATGGTTAGATGTCACTGCGTTGCTTCAGCCTATGTTATGACAAAACTTTCCAATGTGGCTTTCGAATCAAGCTAAAAGCATCGGCAATGTTGACTGCCCTGTTACATAACCCTAAAAAAATCCCTGAATAGTTAAAAGACTAGCGAAGCTTTCAAGTATCGCTCGTAGTCTTTGGGAACCTTCTTAAGAAAATACCCTTAAGGCTGAGGGTCACGTCAGCACTTCCTCATCGATTTGTTTACGTAGCGGCCATCTGCTCTGTGTTGGGACCGTGGTCCTAGCTATATATTTTAAAAGGCAGCACGTGAACTGGTTGCGAAACGGCCGTGTGCAGATTTAGATGGCTTCCACGCGCTGTCCTACTTGGAACAAGTTTCTGGTGGTAGGAACGCCAAGGTCAGTGCGTGTTGCTAGGTGGCTCGGAGCCTGACACACTGGCTCATGCATTCCGCGGAATCAGCAGACACTTTCAGTGAAAACAATGCATGTAGACCCACTCAATAAAATACTTTTTTTTTCTCTTACGCATCGCTGTCACAAATCATGGTGCTGGGTAGTTGTGGTACTTTAGCATGCCGGGTACTATCATTTGGTTAAACCTCACTGACTTCCTGTTCCCCCTCCCTCTGGGTTGTCACAGATGTTTCAGGCTGGTGAAGCTGCAAAGAACAAACTTTAACTCCAAATTTTCTTCCACAATCGTATAGTTTCTTTTGCAGAATGTGAGCGTACCACGCCATGCCATAGCATAACATGACGTACCATGCCGTTTCACACCATGGCACACCATGCTGCCGTATCATACCGTTCGACATCATAGCGTAGCGTGCAACTTTTGGACTTAGAGTACTGGAGAGCCGAGTGGGTTGATAGGCATTCCTGTTAAACAAGTGAAAGTGCAGACACGAAGACAAGATAGAAGTCATCACTTTGGACATTTTTGCCTAATCTATTTGTAATAGGTGGCTTGTCCTCCTTCGTGTGTTACATATAAAATGATTAGTTGCTGACGTCACATCATGAGCTGTCGTGGTCAATACTAGTTACGCGCAAAAAGAAAAAAAAAGTGCAAAAACATTCAGCGCAAGAGCTCTTTTTTCCCTTCTCTTTTTCTATGTTACTTTGTATTTTTTTTTCTTTTGTTGCAATTGCGTTCATAATTGTATTTTTCCACTCCCATTTGTCTTGGGCCGAAATCCCAGTCACACTTCAACACGCTGTTCAGAAGAGCTGTTCAGAATGCTGTTCAGAAGAGGCAACCGTTGACTCTGACGTCCCACAGGGTACGGTTCTTGGACCCCTTTTGTTTTTAATTTTTTTCAATGATATTGTGAATGAAGTTCCTGTAAAAATCAAGTTGTATGCAGATGACTGTGTCATATATTCTGAAATATCCAATGTAACCGATCAAATCATTCTGAATAGTGCCTTTTATAACATTGTGAAGTGGTGTGATTTATGGCAGATGTCAATTAACTTCGATAAAACAGTATTTATGCGAATAACTCACAAGAAAAAACCCTTACTATTTAATTATTCCACCGCAAGTTTCACCCTTTCTGAGGTAACTAACATTAGGTATCTTGGCATTTGGATTACCAATGACCTTAGCTGGACTAAACATGTTGACTCCGTAGTTACAAACGCAAACCGAAAACTATTCTTCCTTCGAAGAGCTCTAAAACATTCTAATTCCACGGTGCGTACTCTAGCGTACAGGACTATCATTCGCCCAGTGTTAGAATATGGAGTGATTGTTTGGGACCCCTTCACTAAAGCTAACATAACTAAATTGGAAAACGTACAGAAGAAGGCAGTCCGCTTTATATTTAATAGCTTTGGACGCACCTCTATAACTGAACTCCTACATCGTGCCAATGAGCCTTCAGTTACCGAAAGAAATCGTTTAACACGACTACAATTTCTTTACCAAATAATTAAAGGGCATTATAAGCTTGATGTTTCCAACATCATTTCCTTTTCTTCTGGGTACGCCACCCGCCAAAGGCATCAACTTACAATAACCCCTTTCCGGTCCCGAAATAACTGCTTCAAATATTCCTTTTTTCCTCGTACAGTAACTCAGTGGAATGGATTAACTAATAACCAAGTGATGGAGCCGTCCTTAGAGTTGTTTGCAGCAAATTTGACCTGATTGTTTACATCATGCTGTTCTATTTTTTTGTTTGTTTGTTTGGTTTATGCAATCTTGAGTGCCAACATTGTGAAAATTATATCTGTAACCACCCTGCTAAAATCTCTGTAATAGGGATTGCAGTATGAATAAATAAATAAATAAATAAATAAATAAATAAATAAATAAAACACTAGATTTTTTTAATATCTTAGTGTCACTAGAATTTTGTCACTCCACTGTGATTCTCCAGATGCGATATGAACAGGTTCATTTTGTATACAGTTTTTTTTACTTTCTGGGTTGCTGTCCTAGGCTGGAGGAAAAATCCAAAGAACTTTAAACAACTAAAAGTAGAAAAAAATCTGCGTAAGGTTAAACAATATGTCTATGTTCGAAGCACTTTGGCGGAAAAAAGGAATAAATGTGATTTAGGTTCGCGTGCATATGTTTATGTGCGCGTTAAAGAAACTCAGGTGGTCGAAAATCGCTAAGCCCTTCACTACATCACCTCTCATAATTATGCCATTATTTAATCCCATCAATTATAACTTAATATAAAAAGTTCGTTCATTCTCATCTTGACGACTTCATAGTACTAGACGCTAGATCTCAGGTATGCGACATTATACTGTAAATATTGACACATGGCTGGCCTTCCTGCTTGTTTGTCATCTTTCTCTTATTTCACAGATGGTAAATGCCAACAGCAACATCACATGACAGAACGTCACCGACTAAACCTTTTAAAACTAACACTTTAGGGTGTCCTACACAAGTCAGGTTAACCTATCAAAATGACGGCCAGCCTTTCTCTGGTACCTTATTCTCTGATGATTGTGGTAGAGTAGCGTCACACAAATAATGCACCAGGTGACAGGATATGCACTGTACTTTGAACTGAAGTTCTTTTTTACTCACTTGAAATATACTTATATTCAATCTTAATCAGTCACGAAGAACTTCACAAGTTTTAGGGTCCAGATGGCGTCAGAAAGGGGGGATAATATATATGTGAAACCGCGAAAGTGAAGAGACACGGTGTACATAGTTTTCACTGAATAACTTTTGTTGAGACTAGAGCATATTGCTTGGATTCTTCTCGTTCAAGGAGAAAACCCGGGGACAGTTGATGATAGTTCGTTTTTTATAGTTTGCAGCGCTAAAGTAACGTCCTCGTCGCTTTATCATTGTAAACTATCAAAAATGCTCGTCTCATTCGTTGTGTGTTCGTGTTCTAGTGCTGCCTTGTCACAAATATTAACTAAAGGCAACATTCCTTTTTTTCATTTTCTCTTCTTTTTGTTGTCTTTGTAACACTTATTTTGTATAATATTTTATTCCACTTACTCCCTTCATCAGCGGGGTAGCTGTTAATTTTTGGGTACCGTTCTGTATTACTCTTTTTTTTTCGCTGCAGAACTTTGTGATATGGAGCAGCCGAGGCAATATGCACCTCAACCTCTCCACAGCAAAACAGTTAAAACAGAACAGAACAACAAATAGGGGTAGCTGGCCGGTCTGAGAACTGACCATCCTCCCTACCCTTCCAGCTGTCTCTTCCTACTCCTCCGAACCGACCTGCTCCTCCATCTGTCATTCTGCGCCTTACAGCTTTTTTATACCTCTGCAGCCTGTTGCCTGTGCAGGTGTGCGTCAAGCTAACTTCCCCAAAATAAATGCCTCCCAAGCAGCGAGGGAGAAGTCGCTCACCACCATCGTGCTTGAGGATGAAGTCGAGGATGTTGACCCGGTTGTGAGCCGCAGCGTGGTGCACGGCGGCCCGACCTCGGCTGTCGCGAAACTGGAGACGCTTCTCGTCGGCCGTGAAGAGACGCTCGAACTCACGTAGGTTTCCTTTCTCAGCCGCCTGCAGAATAAGAGAACGTAAAAGAAAGAGCCGCAGCTCGTCAAAGTGAGTGAATTCCCATGCATGAAGGATAATTCAGTTTCCGCGGTAATTTGATCAACTCTTTCTGTAACGAAGCGAAAAAGAAACGTGACTGAGGAATTAGCAGACAATGCATGGCAGCGTATTACTTATGTGCCTTTATTTCTTCACCGTTATTGCTCCCTAAAGAAGGCTTAACGTTTGCGTAGGTGAACGAAATCATGTGCCTATAGGGTTGGGAAAGCTAGTACTTGGAGATGTATTGTGAGAGAATTCCTCGTGCACTTTAGCAGAATAGAGAAGGACAATGTATGGTTTAACTGTTCTTGACTGTTCAAAGGTCTCCTATTCGCTTCTTTTCTCTTGTTTCGCGGAAACGGTTTGCTGTTTGCAGCGGTAAAAAAAAAAAGACTTCCACATACGGAAAGCTCGTAGTTCGAGACGTGCTGTGAGAGATTCACCCGTACAGTTCAGCAAAACAGAAGAGAGCAACGAACGAGAACACTATGCTAGACTGCCTAGAAGTATAATACTCTATCTCTCTGTCTTTTCATCTTTTATTCACCTTTTCCTTTGTTCCCACTACAAGGTAGCCAAGCATGCGTTAAGATATGGTCAACTTTATGCTCTTCTCATCCAAGGTAAAGGAAAGACGTGAAGGTTTATCAAAGAAAAGCATCAGGTGGCTACCTTGTGCGTTGGAACGAAAAACAATTGCCCGCAGCTTCCCTCGGGGGAACACTGAGAAGGATGCGGAGCATATAATTGGTTAACGGGGTGTTAAAGTGCGACTTACTTGGGTCGATGGCTAAATTGGTTAACGTGGTTGTGAAATGGGGTGTTAAATTGCGACTTACTTGGGTCGATGGCTAAATTGGTTAACGTGGTTGTAGGAGGGGGTGTTAAATGAGTGAACACGTACACACGTATGCGAAAGGGCGGCGCTGGTCGAAGGGACATCGATCATTGTGTTTGTGGATTCGTTGGAATTCATTTCACCGCGACCTTGGACGTCGACGCGCCGTACAAACCAACCGACGAGCGGCAACTGAGCGAGCGAGCGCCGACCTTGAGTATATATACAGCGCGACGGCGCATGCACTGTCAGCTGTTGAATGTTCTCGAAGCGCGACGGCGCATGCGCGTCCACTGGAGAATCAGGAGAATTGTAGAATGTTCTCGAAGGGGATAAGCGCGCGCGGCACAGATGGTGGGTGACGGTGTATGCGCGCGTCAGCTGTCGAATGTTCGAGAAGGGGGAGAAGCGCAACGGCGCATGCGCGCGCGTCAGCTGCCGATGTTCTCGAAGCGTGACGGCGCATGCGCGCTACATTATACAGCTAGCGAATGTTCGTGAAGAGGAGAAGCGCACGCGGTGTGTAGAGGAGGAAGGGTGCACAGATGGTGGAGGAGTGAAGCGCGCGCGGTGTGTAGAGGAGGAAGGGATGCACAGATGGTGGAAGAAGGAGAAGGAAGCTTGCGGACGGCGCCGCACTACAAGCCTCGAGTATTAGATGCTCCGCATCTAAAAAGAGAGGAGTCTGTGACTACACTGCTGCTTGAAGCATCTGGGCTACAGCAGCACACTGTAGCGGGGGTGTTAGTTCGAAGCTCTGAATGTGCTGGCTTAAATCGACGTATTGATTCGTGTCAGAGTTGCGGACTTGCCACTGCAGAATTCAAATGACGTCGGAATGAAACCCCATTTTCGCGACCCCCGAATAGTGGAACGGAGACAACGCTTGGAGGAATGTTTGAAAACAGCGCTCCGGGTTAACGCCTCAAGAAAAAAATGGCAGCATATCCATGGAGTGAATGATGGAGAGTGGGGCGGAGCATTCGTTCGCCCATTCGTTCTTGCTTCCCTCCGTCCATGCATCCGTCTGTGTGACCGTCCATGCGTCGTTCCGCCCGTCCGTGCGTACGTCTGTTCGTGCGTCTGTCCCTGCGTTCATCCATGCATCCGCCCCTGCGTCCGTTCATGCGTCCATCCATGCATCTGTCTGTGTGTCCATTCGTCCATCTATTCAACACTCCAAGTACCACCATCTCGCATCTTTTTATCATATATTCCCCATATAGAAGCACCGCCATCCAGCGGACATTCCAAGGACTAAACGAGAGGTGGCACACGCACACTTTCTTACGGCTTACGCTTCGGGTCTACTTCCCACCTTTACCCACCTTGAGTTCATGGTATACACTAGTTCACTGTATTCATGACACTACGGCCCAACGCTCGCTAAACCTTTTTCAAACCAAGGAGGTTACGCCCAGTGAGTATAACGTAGCAACCTTTTCCTGTCAGATAATGCTCAATGTACAAGCCAATGGCTGATAATTTGGAATGAGAGACAGCAGAATTCGGCTTTTACTTTCTTACGGCTTGTGCTTCATATCTACTTCCCACCTTTAACCACCTCGAGTTCATGGTATAAACTAGTTCATTGTATTCACGACACTGCGGCTCAACGCTTGCTAAACGTTTCTAAAACTAAGGAGGTTACACCCAGCGAGTATAACGTAGCAACCCTTTCTTGTCAGATAGTGCTCAATGTACATGCCAATGGCTGCTAATGGGAATTGCAGCTTGCGCGTTGACTAAAAGCCGAATGCTCCTGTCATTCATTCCCCCTTAGCAGCCATTGGCATGTACATTGAGCACTATTTTTTATTGCTCAACAACGCACAGAAGAAATCTCTCACCGGCACCACGTTGGAGGTCAAAATGTTATACTTGTTACACACTACAATGGCTACAAGGGACGAACGGGTGCCGCTATAAGGAGCTTTGCCCCTGAAATTCCGGAAACACCACTCTTACCTAAAGCCCCTGTACCCTGGTGAGAGTAAAGCCCCTGGTAAGAGTAAAGTCCCTGTCGTAGTTGAACTTTACTCTTACCGCGTGACACGATGAGAAAACGCGCGAAAAAGAATATGTGGGTGGAGACGCCCCCTTAATATTGCCACCCCAAACAACTGGACGTGATAGATTTCGAAGGCATCTACTGGGCCCTACGTTGCTTCTAATCCATAAAAATGAAACAAAAATGAAGTAAATTGTCGTCCACGGGTGCCATGCACTTAGCATACCGCGTTTCAGAAAGTTTTGTTGAGTCAATGTCAAAAAATTACGAAAAATAAATTTTGAAAATTTTTTACGCCACAAGAGGAGATATCGGCACGACATTTGGGAACGAAACTTACGCCTTGGTTTTATCCTATAATAATTAACCTATGATACGGCAAATTGTGGCATTAAAGCTCTCAGAGTGCAGTTTGTGTTTCTAAACCAAGTCAAATTTTCTCTTAGTGTCCCTTCAAGAGACCACCAGGTTTAAGAAAACAAAATTTCCGAGCAATTTGTAGCCGAACTTGATCTAACTGTGCAGTACACGCTGTTTGCGCATTTTAAAACAGGTTAGCAATACGAATTCCCCGCTGCCTGCCGAAGCAGTGTGGACATGCACATTTTTTTTTTCTGTCTCGTAGGTCTTGTACGTTTAATGCTGACTTCATTCGCAATAGAAAAATTACGTTTTCCCAAAGTATATAATAAGCATGGAAACGATTCCTCGTTTGGTCAGTCTGTGTGAAGGTGTCTGTACAGAAGCTACTGGCATGCCGCAACTATAGGTAGAAGACATCTGACTGCCCCCCGCCCCCCTTTGTTTTGTTTGTGCGTGTGTAAGAACATTTATTTCAGTAGCTTCTCGAGAATGCATGCTTGCGATAGTTGGCATATTAAGAAAGACAGAGCAACATCATTGAAAAGCCTGAGATTCTGCAAACAAAATACGCCACTAAGAGGCAGTAATTGTGAAATAGTGCGACTTCGCAAGTTTCTCCAGTTGGCGCCCAAGACCACAGCTGGAAGCGTCGTTCATTCTCAGCCACGCCGTGCTGCAGCGTTGTGTGCACCCCCTTCTAACCCTACTTTCCAAAAGTTCCCAATGAAGCGACTCTTCCGAGTAATTTCCGGCCTGAACACAGCGACAGCGAAGTTCTCGTCACCGGACGCTAGTATCAGAGCGGAACGGCTAATGGAGCCATTCGTTTTCGCCACTATACGTCTTTTAAAGCGATGCCTTGTTCTTACCAGCCTTCTTGATTACTACAACGGGAAGGCGACTGGATGATCGGCCACTTTCGGTGCAGCTGCTATTACCGCACCGTCTACATCTCTCGACAGCTCTTAGGACAGTGAAAACCCACTTGTGCTTTTTTGAAGACGACGAGTTTGTGTGTGAGCGCCTCTGACTTGCGGTGAAGTTCTACACGCTGCAGTGAATTCACTTTCCGTATCTACCTTTTTCTTTTCTTTCTCCTCCCTCTTTCTTGTCCCCATCCCTAATCCCCCAGTGTATAGAGTAGCAAACCGGATGGGTTTCTGGTTAAGCTCCTTACCTTCTCCCTTTGTCTGCTCCCTTCCTTCCATCACCCCAGTTTGCCTCAATTTATTACCACTCTTCGCTAGATTAATAAAATAGTTGACTGGCATATTTGATTGCGCTTGCTTAATTATAAAATTATACCAGCACAAAAAAAGACAGCTACGGAAAGGAAACACACAAGACAAGCCTATACTTCAAACTGAATTTTTTATTGACATGAAAGCTTTTAAAAGTAACCAAGCAAACAGCTCAACATTCTACATTTTTTGTGTTAGACTAAAATGCTCTAAAATATTCGCATGCAGTTTCAATGGTTCTTCGGTATACGAGACGTACAATTTCACAGTGAAAAGCATGCAAGAATTCCGCCGAGCTGCTAGAAAGGGGCTTGGCGGGATTCCTGACCCGACATTTGGGCCCTGATTGTCGGCATTTATTGAAAAAAGGTACACTCTATGAAAAAAATAAATACTTCGCAGATGGAGCTGTTGCTTGCTGGCTCAATAGCTCACGCAAACAGAAGTCGGTAGACAACTAAAGCTTTCAATTTAGACGAATTAATATGTTGTTGTAAAAGTGTATAGGCTAAATAATCTGGGATTTGTCAACTGTAGCCTAAAA